TGCTAAGAGGGTGTTGCGCTACTTGTGCAGTACGTCGGGCATGGGGCTCGTGCTTGGAGGGCGACGTTCAGTTGTTCTTACTGGTCACGCGGACGCTTCTTGGGCTGACGACCTGGCTACTCAGCGGTCGTCACAGGGTTACACCTTCAGCCTTGGCTCCGGCTCTGTGTCGTGGCGGTCTACCCGCTCGTCTTCTGTTCTCGGCTCCAGCTGTGAGGCCGAGATCTACGCAGGGGCCATGGCTGCACAGGAGTTACGCTGGCTCACCTACCTGCTGACCGACCTGGGAGAGCCGCCTCGTTCTCCTCCAGTTCTGTACGTAGACAACAAGGCCATGCTGGCCTTGTGTCAGGAGCACAGACTGGAGCACAGAACGAAGCACATTGCTCTTCGCTACTTCCTTGCTCGTGAGCTGCAGCAGCGTGGTCAGCTGCGCCTTGCTTACGTGGCCACTCAGGCCAACACTGCTGATATCTTTACCAAGGCACTTCAGCCTTGTGATCATCAGCGCTTTTGTACGATGCTAGGTCTTGTGTCTACTTGGCCTCACTTGCTTACTTCTTGACCTTCCTTGTACTGTGATCTATATATATCTGCTCTTGCTTGTTTACCTTTATATATATGATCCTGCATGTGAACTGGCCTTGTGGCCTTTGAACTCGTGCTCGGAATGTGTGGTGACGTTGTGATCCACCCTGAGCTTGCTTTGTTTAACTGGTCTTGTGACCCCTAGTTCTCCCCCACTTTGCCTATGGGGGTGTGTTAGATATATATGACATAGTGTTTGTAGGCTCTAGTGGGGTAGTCACTAAGGGGTACAAGTTTCTAGGGTTTGATATTTGTATCACGCACTTTTCTAGTTTCATCATTCCTCATTTCTTCACAACAAGCCCTTTCCCGACCTACCGCCCGGCTACGAACGCTACAAGCCACTCGACAAGGTTTACTGCGATTTTATGAATTTAAGCCAGGATGGGCTTGACGGCGAATCTTACACACTTACCTTCATTGATGCAAGCACTCGCTACGTCTGGGCGGTCAACACCGACTGCAGATCACTCGCCTTCGAGTGCTTCATCGCGTGGATGAAGCGGGCCGAACGACAATCAGGGCTAAAACTAAAGAGTTGGCAGACAGACGGAGCCCTGGACTTTTTCTCAGACGAGTTCAAGGAGCTCTTCAGGAAGAAGGGGATTGAACACCTTGTGTCACTGCCCTACGCTCACGAGTAACAAGGAGTAGCAGAACGGACAAACAGGAGCCTCGCAACCAGGATGAGGGCCCTGATGAAGCAGTCGGCCATCCCAACCAGGTACTGGCCGTTCGCCATGAACCATGCAGTCCGGCTGCACAACTTGTTGTCCTCCCGAAGCCTCGAGAACAACAATTCTCCCTACAGGGCCTGGACGGGCAGAAAAGCAGACACGCGTCTGCTTCGGGTGTTCGGCTGCATGGTACAGTACCGGCCACACACAGCAAGGACCGGAAACTTCGCTGATCGGGCTCGCTGGGGCATCCACCTCGGGATCGAAAAGGAATACAAGGCGTGGATCGTGCTGGACTACGCGACACACGAAGTGACTAAATCACGTGACTGCATCTTCTACGAGAAGCTGACTCTGCCACTGTTCAATGAACACCGCGAAGCTGACAGGGCACCAGAATGGGTTTTTGAGGGACACCGCAGCTTCGCAACTCCACACGATGAAGCTGACCTGGCGGAAGATGTGGATGCAGCAAATGTTACCCAGTTAGACAGCGCACCCAACATCCCCCTTACAAGCCCGCTCCAGACTCCAACCTTCATCCCTGTACACCACTTCGATCCCGCCGATACAACTCGCGAAGCCTACAACTTTAACAGCACCGTCCGCAAATCCCCGGATGCCGCGTTACCACCGCCAAACACTTCGCAAGACTCCCTCCGCGCTGGCAACGACAGTGACGACGACGTGGTCGAAGTAACCAGCTTCCACGACTACGATCGCCTGCACTACGAAAAGACCAATGAAACCGGTCTCCGCATCCTTGGGCTCGCAGTCGCCGTTCGTCACAACTCCCCCAAGGAGCCCACCACCGTTCGCCAAGCTCTCTCCGGCCCCGACAGTGAGAAATGGAAGGCAGCCATGGCCAAGGAGACCGCGTCGCTCAAGAGCCGTGGCACATGGAAGCTGGTTCCCCGGACATCTGTGAAGGGGAGAAAATTTCTCAGCGGAAAATGGGTTTTCCGCATGAAGACACTGGCGGATGGCTCCATCGACAAATACAAAGCGCGATGGGTGGTTCGCGGCTTCGAGCAAACTCACATGGTGGATTTCGATCTCACCTACGCACCAGTCGGGCGGCACACTTCAGTGCGGATCCTCATCTGCATTGCAGCCGTCAAACAGCGCCCACTCCGTCAAATCGACGTCGGCAGTGCATTCTTGTATGCTCCGGTCGACGCAATCATCTTCGTCGAACAGCCGCATGCCTTCGAAGAGAACGACGGCGTCGTCTGCCTACTCCAGAAATCCCTCTACGGGATTAAGCAAGCACCTCGCCTGTGGCAGCAGTACCTGCACACCGTGCTCACGCATCTCGGCTTCCAACAACTGCCACATGACCTCGGCATGTACAGGAAGGAGTCGCGCGGCAAATTCATCAACCTCGTTGCCTACGTCGACGACCTCCTCTACACCGGTGACGACAAGGAGCTGCTGGACCAGTTCGAAGCAGACATCAAGGAGAAGCTGGAGGTCACAGTCAATCACGACGTTACGCAGTTCCTGGGTCTCAACATCACTCAATCCGCCTCCTCCATTCACCTCTCCGCCGCCAAGTATGCCGAAACACTCGCGAAGAAATTCGGCATCGCACCCATCAATCTCACTACCCCTTTTCGCACTCCTCCTCCTACCCACGAACCAGACACCACGCCTCTCTCTCTCTCGAAGATCATCGGCTCTATCAGCAGCAGCTAGGGTGCCTCCTGTTCGCCGCCGTCACGTGCCGGCCTGATCTCTCCTACGTCGCAAGCCAGCTCGCTCAGTACATGAAGCGACCTGAAGGGGAGAATCTACTGGATCTTCGTCGAGCACTTCAATACTTCGTCTCTACTCCCGACGTCGGCCTCACCTACGAAGCTAACTTAACGGCTACCCTGCAGCTGCATGTCTACGTAGATGCAGACCATGCAGGAGATGCTGACAACAGACGCTCCCGCACAGGATTCATCTTTCAACTTCAACCTGCTGGACTCATCTCATGGAACTCTCAGAAGCAGGAACTCATCGCCCTTTCGTCAGCCGAAGCCGAATTCATCGCCGCCAGCGCAGCTGTTCGCAAAGGATTGTACCTGATGGAGCTCCTGCAGGAAGCGAAAGTGACGATGAACGGGCACTTCACGTTACTCTGCGACCACCAGAGCGCGATCAAGATCGCGAACAAGCCCGGCTTCGTGAACCGCACGAAACACATCGCCCTTCGCTACTTTTTCGTCAAAGACGAAATCCACAAGGGCAAGGTCAAGCTTACGTATTGCCCAACTGGTAACATGGCAGCCGACTTTCTGACAAAGAAACTGCCACGTCAACAGTTTCAGCACTGCGCCAACCTCTGCGGGATCACCAAGAAGTCCCACGTGGCTCACCTTCAGGAATGAAGGGGAGTGTTGGAATAACCGAAAGGTTATCATGAACATTCCCGAAGGATCTCCACTCTCGCGTCACTTCATAACGAAGTAAACGCATGTATCAGTACCGCAATAGCTCATATAGAGCACGCGGAAGGTCGAGGGTCACCCGAAGGTCAACAGTCGAAGACAGTCAACGGTCGTGACCCTTGACCGCCCAGTAACCGCACAAGACAGTTACGAAGTGCAACGTGGTAACTGTCTAGAATGGCAATAGTCGTGGTTACTGTAGCAATGCAATTCAGTTAATAAGGGAATGTACCCCTCAAAGTACATGGCTAGCTAGGTTTGCTATTTATACTCTTGTACTCTTACCTTATAATCATCTTGTTCTCCCTCAATTTATTAACAAGGTCACTACAGAGACTTCATAGTTCTCTCAATATACTTGGCAGCTTTATCCTATCCACTACGATCCTTAATTTATATCATCACCCGCGCTGCCCGCGCCTGCCCTGCACGCGCGCAAGTGCCGCCTGCTGCTGCTGCTCTAGGAGCTACCGCCTGCTGCGGCCCTAGGTGCTGCCGCCTGCTGCTGCCGCCCTAGGTGCTACCGCCCTAGGTGCTACCACCTGCTGCTGTACGCCCTCCTGCCCTGAGTGCTCGCGCTGCCTGCGCGCTCCTGCCCTGCCCCGCGCGCATCGCCAACTGCCGCTGCCGCCCTTGGCTACCGCTACTGCTCCTACCACTGCTGCCACTGCACCTACTGTTCTTGGTACCGCCACTGCAGTCGCTACTTCAGCCCTTGCGCCGCTGCTGCTGACTGACACTGCCTACCATAGGGTGGGATGCCATTCGATAGGGTTTTAGTTTTTTCAAGTGCTACTGTAGACACTTTTCATGTAATGTTCGAATTGTTTTAATCTTGTAACACGGTGTCACAGCACGAACTCGTTCGTCTGCCGACTTCGTTTTCGTTCGTCTGCCTTGAGCGGCAAACATATGTTCATACATATGGACCCACGCAGAACTGCACACTGGAGACACGTCCTGAGGGTGTCAAACCAAAAGCCTTGGGTCGGTCGTGGGTCTCCTAGCAGATTTACTTCTCAGTCAGGATCCCGCGTTTCTTCAATTTGAGGTTCGAAGCTTGCGGGATCCACAAGATCCTAAGTCCCACGTCGTGCACTGTCAAGGTTCGAAGCTTGCGGGATCCACAAGATCCTAAGTCCCACGTCGTGCACTGTCAAGGTTCGAAGCTTGCTGTACACGTCAAGGATTACTGTGCACGGAAGCCTAAGTCCCACGTCGTGCACTGTCTCGGCCACCGCAACACGGTTTCCCTCCACAGCTCGCTCTGGTAGGCAACCCGCGCGAAGCGCCGACCATGGCGCTGCACTTGCCGTCCCACGCTCTCGCTGCGCGCTTGTCGGGATTCACGGAGGCGCGTTTGTTCGGTCTACGTGTGACGTTGATATCCCCTGCGCGCACCGCTGCGCGCTCTCTGACTCTCGCCTCTCCGCCTTGCGCGCAGCCCGCATGTGCGCCAATCGCGGGTCCTCGTGCGCAAGCGGGCACGGCGCAGGCGGATGCTGGGCGGGCGGATTCGGCGACAGGCGCAGCGCAAGGCGCAGTGGCGGGCGCAGCAGCAGGCGCAGTCCGCGCTGCAGCAGGCGACGGTGACAGAGGCGCGAGAGAGGCGGCATCGGCGCAAGAAGGACGGGCGGCGGCGCGGGGAGGAAGGGCGGCCCCGGAGTCGGAATCGAGCTTGGAGCCCGGCAGCGTTGACGGCTTTCACTCGCTGGGGCTGCCGGCGGGTGTGACGGAGCGCGTGGCGTCGCTGGGGCTGCTCGAGCCCACCGACATCCAACTACGCGCCGTGCCCGCGCTCATGCAAGGTGCTCTGCGCCCGCCCTCATGCAATGTGCGCGCTGCACTGACGCTTAAACCCCGAAACCCCAAACCTTCAACCTTGAGGTCGCTGCTTGCCCTCTCGCAGTGGCTGTAAATCAGTGGCCGTGCCTCTACTTCCTTTTCCCTTCCGCCCCCCTTTCCTCCTTGTCTACCATCCCTTTCCCTTTCACCCTTTTCCCTCACAACCTTCTCCCCGATCACCCTTCCTGAACCACGATGCTCTTCCCTCCTCGCCCGCCTTTTCCCTTCTGCCTCTCCTCAATCATCCCCGCAACATGCTCCACTCCTCCCCATCGTTCTTCAATCTACTCGTCCCTCCCACCCGCCACATGCATACCTCCTGCGCCCCGTTCCCACGCCACTTCTTCTCTCCCCTCCTCCCTCCCTTCCCACCTCCCCCCATCTTCCCCTCTCCCCCTTTCCCCTTCCCCGCCTCCTCCCCTCCCGCTTCCCTCGTACCAGGCACGGACGCGGTCCTGCAGTCGTGCAAGGCGCTCGCCTATCTGCTGGCCATCCCCCTTCCCCCCTTTCCCCATCCCGCTTCCCCTCATCCCCCCCCCAACCACCACCAGGCACGGACGCAGTGCTCCAATCCTTCACGGGGTCAGGCAAGACGCTCGCCTATCTGCTGCCCATCCTCGCCTCCGTGGGCCCTCTCAGCCGCCCCCCTGGCCACGCCGACACCACTGGGGCTGCTGGGGGCGGCGGGGGGGAGAGGGAGGGGGCAGGCAAGGGCAAGAGAGGCAAGAAGGGGCGCGCAGGCGGAGGGGGAGGGGGCGGGGGAGGAGGGGGCGGAGGGGGCGTGGAGGCGGTGGTGGTGGCGCCGTCACGGGAGCTGGCGATGCAGATCGTGAGAGAGGCGGAACGCGTGCTGGGGGAGGAGCACAAGGTGAGAGGGGGGAGGGGCGAGGAGCACAAGGTGAGGCGAGGAGCATAAGGTGAGGCGAGGAGCATAAGGTGAGGCGAGGAGCATAAGGTGAGGCGAGGAGCACAAGGTGAGGCGAGGAGCACAAGGTGAGGCGAGGAGCATAAGGTGAGGCGAGGAGCATAAGGTGAGGCGAGGAGCATAAGGTGAGGCGAGGAGCATAAGGTGAGGAGGGTGGGGGGAAAGAGGGGCGAGGAGCACACGGTGGGGGGAAAGAGGGGCGAGGAGCACACGGGGGGAGGAAGGGGGGGAGGGGGGGAAGGCACAAGGTGGTGCGAGGAGCATAGCATTTGCTGCAAGCAGCTCGTATCCTCCTTTCTTGAGCCACAGCCCCTTCCATACCCCCTCTTCACACATCCCCTCTCATCCCCCACCATCCCTCGCCCCCTGCCCCCCTAACAGCGATGTGTGCAGCAGCTAATCGACGGGGCGAACCCTCCTCCTCACGCTTTTCCCCCTCACCCCACCACCCCTCGCCCCCTCGCCGCCTGCCCCTGGCTCCGTAACAGCGCTGTGTGCAGCAGCTGATCGGAGGGGCGAACCCCCATCGGCAGGAGGAGGCGCTGAAGAAATACCGACCGTCCATCGTGGTGGGCACGCCGGGGCGCATCGAGGAGAGCAGCCGTGCGGGGCGGCTGTCAACCCACTCGTGCCGCTGGCTGGTGCTGGACGAGGCGGACATGCTGCTGTCGCACCGCTTCAGGATGGATATGTTGAGGATTCTGGACCACGTGGGAAGGCGCAAGTGAGTTTGTGGGGATTGCATGCAAGTGAGTGGGTGGATGAGGCGAGTGTTGGGAAGAATGGAGTGATTCCTCATGGCGGACCAGCATGTGACTTGTCATGGCGGACCAGCATGTGTCTTGTCATGGCGGACCAGCATGTGACTTGTCATGGCGGACCAGCATGTGACTTGTCATGGCGGACCAGCATGTGACTTGTCATGGCGGACCAGCATGTGACTTGTCATGGCGGACCAGCATGTGACTTGTCATGGCGGACCAGCATGTGACTTGTCATGGCGGACCAGCATGTGACTTGTCATGGCGGACCAGCATGTGACTTGTCATGGCGGACCAGCATGTGACTTGTCATGGCGGACCAGCATGTGACTTGTCATGGCGGACCAGCATGTGACTTGTCATGGCGGACCAGCATGTGACTTGTCATGGCGGACCAGCATGTGACTTGTCATGGCGGACCAGCATGTGACTTGTCATGGCGGACCAGCATGTGACTTGTCATGGCGGACCAGCATGTGACTTGTCATGGCGGACCAGCATGTGACTTGTCATGGCGGACCAGCATGTGACTTGTCATGGCGGACCAGCATGTGACTTGTCATGGCGGACCAGCATGTGACTTGTCATGGCGGACCAGCATGTGACTTGTCATGGCGGACCAGCATGTGACTTGTCATGGCGGACCAGCATGTGACTTGTCATGGCGGACCAGCATGTGACTTGTCATGGCGGACCAGCATGTGACTTGTCATGGCGGACCAGCATGTGACTTGTCATGGCGGACCAGCATGTGACTTGTCATGGCGGACCAGCATGTGACTTGTCATGGCGGACCAGCATGTGACTTGTCATGGCGGACCAGCATGTGACTTGTCATGGCGGACCAGCATGTGACTTGTCATGGCGGACCAGCATGTGACTTGTCATGGCGGACCAGCATGTGACTTGTCATGGCGGACCAGCATGTGACTTGTCATGGCGGACCAGCATGTGACTTGTCATGGCGGACCAGCATGTGACTTGTCATGGCGGACCAGCATGTGACTTGTCATGGCGGACCAGCATGTGACTTGTCATGGCGGACCAGCATGTGACTTGTCATGGCGGACCAGCATGTGACTTGTCATGGCGGACCAGCATGTGACTTGTCATGGCGGACCAGCATGTGACTTGTCATGGCGGACCAGCATGTGACTTGTCATGGCGGACCAGCATGTGACTTGTCATGGCGGACCAGCATGTGACTTGTCATGGCGGACCAGCATGTGACTTGTCATGGCGGACCAGCATGTGACTTGTCATGGCGGACCAGCATGTGACTTGTCATGGCGGACCAGCATGTGACTTGTCATGGCGGACCAGCATGTGACTTGTCATGGCGGACCAGCATGTGACTTGTCATGGCGGACCAGCATGTGACTTGTCATGGCGGACCAGCATGTGACTTGTCATGGCGGACCAGCATGTGACTTGTCATGGCGGACCAGCATGTGACTTGTCATGGCGGACCAGCATGTGACTTGTCATGGCGGACCAGCATGTGACTTGTCATGGCGGACCAGCATGTGACTTGTCATGGCGGACCAGCATGTGACTTGTCATGGCGGACCAGCATGTGACTTGTCATGGCGGACCAGCATGTGACTTGTCATGGCGGACCAGCATGTGACTTGTCATGGCGGACCAGCATGTGACTTGTCATGGCGGACCAGCATGTGACTTGTCATGGCGGACCAGCATGTGACTTGTCATGGCGGACCAGCATGTGACTTGTCATGGCGGACCAGCATGTGACTTGTCATGGCGGACCAGCATGTGACTTGTCATGGCGGACCAGCATGTGACTTGTCATGGCGGACCAGCATGTGACTTGTCATGGCGGACCAGCATGTGACTTGTCATGGCGGACCAGCATGTGACTTGTCATGGCGGACCAGCATGTGACTTGTCATGGCGGACCAGCATGTGACTTGTCATTGCGGACCAGCATGTGACTTGTCATGGCGGACCAGCATGTGACTTGTCATGGCGGACCAGCATGTGACTTGTCATGGCGGACCAGCATGTGACTTGTCATGGCGGACCAGCATGTGACTTGTCATGGCGGACCAGCATGTGACTTGTCATGGCGGACCAGCATGTGACTTGTCATGGCGGACCAGCATGTGACTTGTCATGGCGGACCAGCATGTGACTTGTCATGGCGGACCAGCATGTGACTTGTCATGGCGGACCAGCATGTGACTTGTCATGGCGGACCAGCATGTGACTTGTCATGGCGGACCAGCATGTGACTTGTCATGGCGGACCAGCATGTGACTTGTCATGGCGGACCAGCATGTGACTTGTCATGGCGGACCAGCATGTGACTTGTCATGGCGGACCAGCATGTGACTTGTCATGGCGGACCAGCATGTGACTTGTCATGGCGGACCAGCATGTGACTTGTCATGGCGGACCAGCATGTGACTTGTCATGGCGGACCAGCATGTGACTTGTCATGGCGGACCAGCATGTGACTTGTCATGGCGGACCAGCATGTGACTTGTCATGGCGGACCAGCATGTGACTTGTCATGGCGGACCAGCATGTGACTTGTCATGGCGGACCAGCATGTGACTTGTCATGGCGGACCAGCATGTGACTTGTCATGGCGGACCAGCATGTGACTTGTCATGGCGGACCAGCATGTGACTTGTCATGGCGGACCAGCATGTGACTTGTCATGGCGGACCAGCATGTGACTTGTCATGGCGGACCAGCATGTGACTTGTCATGGCGGACCAGCATGTGACTTGTCATGGCGGACCAGCATGTGACTTGTCATGGCGGACCAGCATGTGACTTGTCATGGCGGACCAGCATGTGACTTGTCATGGCGGACCAGCATGTGATTAGGTTGAGTGACGACAGATCACAAACATGCAAGTGATTAGGTTGAGTGTCGGCCACGGTGCCCCGACCCGTGCTTGAGGCCGCCTGCAAGTGGGGCTCCCACCCGCTGCTCCCCATGCCATGTGCCGCCTACTCTCATTCCATCTCCACTTCCCCTGCTTCTCATGCTGCCCTGTCTCCAGGTCCGTTCACCACCCTGCACCCAGCACCACCACTGCCACGGCAGCAGCAGGCAGCATGAGGACAGAGAGGCAGCTGGTGATGGTGTCAGCCACGGTGCCCCGGCCTGTGCTGGAGGCCGCCTGCAAGTGGGGCAACCACCCGACGCTCGTCCAGCAGCATGCCGTGCAGCCCATCGACGCCCGCTCTGCTGCTGCTGCTGCTGCTGCTGCTGCTGCTGCTGCTGCCAGCCCAGCCAGTGACTTGCTTCCTGTTCCTGCTGCCACAGCATCAGCAGTGCACGGGGCGCCGCCTGCAGCAGTGCTGGCAGGAGGGGTGGCTGGGGGGTTGCTGGCATCGCTAGGAGGCGGTGAGGAGGGGCCGCTGGTGGCGCTGAGTGACAGCTTGCCGCCCAACCTCGAGCACTGGTGAGCGGCCTTGCCCTACAGCTGCTGAACCATCCCATCTGCCACAGTAGCTGCACAGGCACTTGTGATTCAATCCCTGCCTTGGTGGTGTCTCACGGGTCCACACAAAGCAAATGCATCACTGCCCCTGCTCCCTCCCCACTCCTCTTTAACCCTCCTTCACCTCCCCATCATATCCTTTTGCACCCATCTGCTCTCATCCTTCCCATCCTCTCCCTCTCTCCCAACCCCCTCCCCTTTCTCTCCCCACACAGCTACATCGTGCGCCGTGCATCGTGCCCATCCATCTCTTGCCCCCCCTTCTCGCTCCCCATGTTGCTGTGCTGTGGTGCAGCGCCCATGTCCCATCTCCTATCTCCTGCTCCACACATCTGCCTGCACCCCTCTCCTATCCTCCCCTACTTCCACCACACAGCTACATAGTGGTGAACAGGCGGCACCACGTGGACGTGGTACAGCGCACTGCCAGCGCGGCCCCCCCATCAAACCCATCCCTCTTCCCCCTCTCACCCCTCCTCCACCACACAGCTATATAGTGGTGAACAGGCGGCACCATGTGGACGTGGTGCGTCGCTGTGTGCACGCACTGCCAGCACCCTCCACCCATCAGCCTCCATCCCTCATCCCCCCCCACTCTCCCCCACTTTCCCTTCCCCCCACACAACTACATAGTGGTGAACAGGCGTCATCACGTGGACATCGTGCGGCGCTGTGCGCATGCGTTGGAGGCGTGGTCAGCCATGGTGTTCATGAACTTTGGGCGCCGCCTGGTGGACGTGCAGCACAAGCTGGAGGCCAGAGGGCTGTCCGCTGCTGCGCTGCATGGCACCATCTCCAAGCTCGCCCGCACCAACATCATGTCCTCCTTCAGGTGCCGCCCGCCTTCAGGTGCTGCCCTCTTGCAGGTGCCACCCACCCTGCTTCAGGTGCTGCCCTCTTTCAGGTGCCACGCTACTTCAGGTGCCGCCCTCTTGCAGGTGCCACCCTGCTTCAGGTGCCGCCCTCCTTCAGGTGCCGCCCTCCTTCAGGTGCCGCCCTCCTTCAGGTGCCGCCCTCCTTCAGGTGCTGGACTCTGTCAGCTGCTATTCTGGCCATTGCATGTGTCGTGCAGAGCTGGACAAAAACCTGGCCGTCTGCCTGGCGTGCGTCTCACAGTCTTCACCCACCACCCTTCACTTTTGTTAATTATCTGGTCGTTATCATCTTGCCGCACAAGTCCAAATCAATAGCAATAATAAGTTATCAGTACTTGAACAGCTTGAATGCAGCTCCTTTGTCAACTCCAGCCCACCATGTTTCCGGTCCCGCAAGCGTCCTCCCCTCCCTTCGCCCCTACCAAATGCCGTCAACTCTCGACTCCCCATGCTGGCAGGGATGGCGGGGTGCGAGTGCTGCTGGCCACGGAGGTGGGTGCACGCGGGCTGGACGTGGTGGCCTGTGACCTCGTAGTCAACCTCGAGCTGCCCGCCTCGCCCGCCCACTATGCGCACCGCGCCGGCCGCACGGGGCGGCTGGGGCGGCGCGGCGTGGTGGTGTCGGTGTGTGAGGAGCGCGAGGAGTTTGTGGTGCAGCGTGTGGCGCGGGAGCTGGGCGTGAAGATGGCGCGCATGGAGGTGGTGGAGGGCAGCCTCGTGCCGTATGAGGGGCGCATGAAGTACTGACTGCCTGTGAGGGGCAGCTCTGCCAGACCCAATTTTAATACAGTTGGGCTGAGATAATGCCCTTGAGATTTGAGAATCGTTTCCCAGCGAAAGTTCTGAATTCCTGAGTTGGTGAATGAGAAGAATTCACTAATAAGAAAATATACAAGAGACTTGTAGGTTTAGAAAATACCTCTATGCTGTACCTATTCGCTCAACAGAGCTTGTACTGACTCATCACTCTTAACGATACTTTTGTCAAAATACAATTCTGCTTGCTAGGCTATAGTGGGTTACTCATACGGGGTACAACCCCAATTAGGGTTAGCCTATACAAACCTGTACTGCCCTGTTTCTAGTCATTCCTGCACAGTTGATTCTGACATGGTATTCAGAGCAGGAAACCTGTTAGGTTCTTAGGGCCCACCGATAGTTCCGCTAGTTCCTGCCCGAATCGCCCTTGCGCTGTCCGGCCTTGCTCGCACGGTGTCGCGCTGCCCTGCAGCTACTCGCACTGCCTGCCCTAGCGCGCTCCCCTACTGCAGCCCGCGCGTCGCGCCCTGCAGCCCGCACGTTGCGCCCTGCTGCAGCCTGCGAGTCGCGCCCTACTGGCCTGCCCAGCGCGCGCCGCCCTGCCCTGCAGCCCGTGCCCAGCGGCCCTGCAGCCCGTGCATCGCGCTGCCCTGCCCTTAGGCCCGCGCGCCGCCCTGCCCTGCAGCTCGCGAACCGCGCTGCCCTGCCCTTAGGCCCACGCACCGCCCTGCCCTGCAGCCCAGCGCGTCGCGCCCTGCTGCCCTGCCCAGCGCGCGCCCCACTGCCCCGCGCGTCGCGCCCTGCTGCAGCCCGCGCGTCGCGCCCTGCAGCCCGCGCGTCGCACCCTGCTGCCCCGCGCGTCGCGCCCTGCTGCCCTGCCCAGCGCGCGCCCTGCTGCCATGTCCCGTGCGCGCCCCGCTGCCCTGCAGCCCGTGCATCGCACTGCCCTGCATTTAGGCCCGCGTGCCCTGCCCTGTAGCCCGCGGCGCGCCCTGCCTTGCCCAGCCGCGCCGCCCAGCCCTGCCGAGCCGCGCCGCCCAGGCCGAGCCGCGCCGCCCAGCCCGAGCCGCGCTGCCCCACCCGAGCCGCGCCGCCCTACCTCATTCGCCAGCCCCACCGAGCCGCCCTGCTACTACTACTGCTGCTGCTGCTCGTGCTACTACTGCTGCTGGTGGAGGTGCTGCTGGGAGTGCTGGAGGTGCTGCTGGTGCTGGAGGTGCTGGACCTTCTACTGACCGTCTCTGCCTGTCATGGCCACTATCACGGTAGTTGCAGCGGCTAGGGGTGGACAGCAGCGGTCACTGCCTCTCCCGGACGACCCCACCCCTTAGCAGCTCCGTGAGTGGGTTATTCAGCGAGGCAAACCTGGTGGTGGAGGTTTTGGTTTTATGGGTACTGCACAGTGGCGGCAGCAGCGTCCGCAGTGCACCTTCTCCCTGCAGCGGCTTCGCGACTGTGCTTCTCAGCGATGCGTCCCTGGTTGTGTAGAGGCTGCTGCTCTCGGTTCTAGTGAGTTTGCTGCCGCTCCAGGTTCTAGTGAGTCTGCTGCAGCTCTAGGTGCTCGTGAGTCTGCCGACGCTCTAGGTGCTAATGCGTCTACTGCCACAGGTCATGCCTCAGCTGAGGCCTTGTACACTTTCACACTTGACTCAGGCGCGTCACGTTGCTTCTTTCGTGATTGCACCACAGTCACACCACTCGCAGCACCTGTCCCAGTCTCACTGGCTGACCCCTCTGGGGCCCCAGTAGTTGCGCGAGCCTCCACTGTCCTCCCGTGTCCGGCGGTCCCCTCCGGGTCTCTCTCAGGTCTCCACCTCCCTACGTTCTCGACGAACTTGTAAAGCAACAAATTTCTCCAGGATGTATGGGTTGACACCTTCATTCCTGGAGGACAGCGTGTGGCGATCTGTACGTGTTCCCGGACTGGCCGTCACCTTGCTACGTTCACTCGTCAGCCTGGGTCCGGTTTTTACACACTGACCACTGCGTCTGCACAGGTGGCTGAGTCAGGTCAGATGGCTGCGTCGAGTCAAATGTCTGCGTCTGGTCAGCTTGCAGCGTCTTGCTCGTGTCGAGTACTCTCTCACCAGACTCTCCTCTGGCACCACCGCCTCGGTCACCCCTCGCTGCCGCGTCTCCGCAGCATGCACTCCCGTCTCCTTGTCTCTGGCCTTCCCAGGTCCCTGCCCTCCCTCCCGCGCTCGCCTGCGTCGAGGGGCGGCAGCGCGCCGCTCCTCACTCCTCCGAGTTTCCTCCGACCACTGCTCCTCTGCAAACTCTCCACATGGACGTGTGGGGCCCGGCCTCCGTCAGTGAAACAGACCAGGAGCGCTACTTCCTGCTGGTGGTTGACGACTACACACGCTACACCGCTGTCTTCCCCTTGCGGCGCAAGGCAGACGTTAGCGGTGTTTTGATCCCCTGGATCCTTGCTACTCGTCACCAGTTGCGCGAGAGGTTTCGGCGGGACTTGCCAGTCTTGCGTCTGCACTCTGACAGGGGCGGTGAGTTCTCTTCTGACCTCCTTGAGGAGTTTTGTCGAGACGAGGGCATCCGCCAGACGTTCACGCTTCCGGCCTCTCCTCAGCAAAATGGGATTGCTGAGCGTCGCATTGGCTTGATTATGGAGGTTGCTTGTACCTCCATGATCCATGCGGCTGCTCCCCATTTGCTGTGGCCGTTTGCGGTCCGATACGCTGCGCATCAGCTCAACCTCTGGCCCCGTGTCTCTGAGCCAGAGACCTCGCCCACACTCCGGTGGACGGGGAAGGTTGGCGATGCGTCGGTGTTTCGGGTCTAGGGCGCGCTCTCCCTTGTTCGCAATGCCAAAGTGACCAAGCTCTCCTCTCGGACTCTCCGCTGCGTCTTCCTTGGCTTCCCCACTGACACCCCGCCGTGGCAGTTCTACCACTCGCGCGAGCGTCGAGTCTTCTCCTCCCAGGACGTCAGCTTTGACGAGTCTGTCCGTTTCTACAGACTACACCCGCACGCGTCCCACCCGGTCCCCCTAGCGCCTCTCTTCCTGGTACCAGTCCCCCCCCCGGTAGACCCCCTCCCCCCACAGGGTCCTGCTCCCTCAGGTGTGTCTCACGTAGACCCACTCCCCTTAGTTGAGCCTTTGGAGATCACTTCTGACTCTTCTGGCCCAGCTGAGGGGGGTGACCCCGCCGCTGACGACACGACGGCCACTCGCCGCTCTCCACGCTTGGAGACCCCCCCTGGTTTTCCGCCTCGACCGTCTTCGCCGCCTCTGCAGCCTGCTGCTGTGGAATCTGGAGTTGAGACTGCTGGTGCTGAGCCTGGGGGTGCTGAGAAAGAGGGTGAGGGTTCTGGGGGTGCTGGTTCTGGGGGTGCTGCGACTGGGGGTGCTGACTCTGGGGGTGATGCGAGTCCTAGTGGCAGTGGAGCTGTGGGTGACCCTGCTGGAGGTCCTGGAGCTGGACAGCTACCGCAGCCTGATATAATTGAGACGCTCTCGCCGCAGCAGATTCGTTCGTGGATCGTTCGGCAAGGTAGTCCTGGTGGTTGAGGGTTCGGTCTTGCTGGTGCTGGAGCTGCTAGTCCTGTAGGTACTGCTGGGGGTGCTAGAGGTGTTGCTGGTGCTGGAGGTACTGCTGGAGGTTCTGCTGGTGCTAGAGGTACTAGAGGTGCTGGAGGTGCTGGAGGTGCTAGTGCTAGAGGTGCTGCTGGTGCTGGAGGTACTGCTGGAGGTGCTGCTGGTGCTGGAGGTGCTGGAGGTGCTGGAGCTGCTAGTGCTGGAGGTACTGCTGGTGCTGGAGGTACTGGAGGCACTGCTGGAGGTGCTGGAGCTGCTAGTGCTGGAGGTGCTGCTAGTGCTGGAGGTGCTGGAGCTGCTAGTACTGGAGGTGCTGCTAGTGCTGGAGGTGCTGCTGGTGCTGGAGGTATTAGAGGTACTGCTGGACGTGCTGGAGCTGCTAGTGCTGGAGGTAATGCTTGTGCTGGAGGTACTGGAGTTGCTGCTGGTGCTGGAGGGGCTGGACCTGCTGGTGCGCTTTGCCACCTTCTCGGTCTTCCGCCAGCTCCTACTGAGCTCCCTGTCGCTGGTACTACTCCGCCTTTACTGTTCCCACCAGCGGACCATTCTCAGCCACATCTACTCCCTCACTCCCCACTGCCTACTCCTGCTCCTTACACTGCTGTGACAGAGTCCCTGACTGAGCGTCGAGAGCCTGAGACTCGTGCTTCCACTCCTGAGCGTCGAGAGCCTGAGACTAGAGCTTCCGTTCCTGCTCGTGTTCGACATGTGCGCCGTCCTCGTGCTCCGGCTGTCCCAGGCACTCACGATATGACACTCCGTCCTTCCTCTGTTCCACAGCGTGTTGTCCTACCGTCACCTCCTGCGTCTTCTCTTCCTGACGTTGCTGACCCTCCGTCTGACCTTGCTCGTGCTTCCAGTCCGACTGTCATTCGCTTTCTTGCTACAGTTGTGACGGACCCTACGTTCTCGTCTCCTGCTGCGTCTCCCATAGTCGTTGAGCTAGTTGACTTTGCTGCTGTGTACCGCCTAGACTACCTTGCGAGTCTTGTTTCTGACCCTGACCCTGCCCGTCCTCCGTCCGTCGGGGGTGAGGTTGCCCTTGGCTGTGACGTTCTTGAGGACAGACAGGAGGAGCTGGAGTGCCTTGCGGCCGCTGCACCTCATCTCGCTACCATGCTGCTTGCCGCTGAGGGAGACCCGGATGCACTTGACATCCCCACCCCGCGCTCTTACAGAGAGGCGATCTCGGGTGAGTACTCCTCTCAGTGGCAGACAGCCATGGACGCAGAGATGGCTTCCTGGAAGTCCGCAGGCACCTACGTCGACAAGGTTCCCCCACCTGAGGCGAACATCGTCAGTGGCATGTGGGTTTTCAGGGTGAAGCGACTGCCGGGCTCTCCGCCTGCCTTCAAGGCACGTTACGTTGCTTGAGGCTTCAGTCAGCGTTAGGGGGCCGACTTCTTTCAGACATTCTCACCCACCTCAAAGA